ATGACCCCACATCTGTTGATGATCCACATGATACCCGTAAACCCCCGACCCACCCGCCTGCTGCTGCCCCGCCACGTAATAATACGGCACCCCCTCAGCCCCGACTCTCCCCACCGCCGGCGGTCCCAACACTTCTTCCCTCAAATCCTCCCTCGGCACAATATCCACCAAGAAGTCGAATATGTCGGTCCTTGTGATTGCAGCCGCTATGTCGTTCTTCTGCAGCGTCCGCCGCTTGTTCTCCTCCGTGTTGCTCCACGAGCGCAGAGTCAGCTCCAGGATGAACATCTCGCAAGCGCGGGCAAAGATGACGGGTGCCTCGGCCGAGATCATTCGGACATCCTCGTCAGCCTTCATGATCTTTTTGATTCGGGCGAGGGGAAGGCTGTGGTTCTTGAAATCGGCCACCTGGTCGATTTCTTCGTATTGGGCAGCCCAGAAGGATTGAAGCTGCTGTTGGAGCTGCTGTTGTTGCTGGTGGTGGATGTGCTGGTAGGCCAGCTGGGCCTGGCCTGGCCCGGAGGGTGCGGGCCCTGTCATCTGGCTTGGTGGGTGGTATGGGTGGATGCTGCCGTAGGGGATCTGTTCGTTTCCTTGTTGATCCATCTTTTTTATTTTGAGAGTGAAATTGGATCTGTGGGGATTGATTAAGAAATAAGAAAAGAGAACATACACGATTTGTGAGGAAAATCTGTCGTTTATTNGAGGGGGAACCGTTTATTCAGCTACATTTTTGGCGGCACAAATGTTGCATTGTTCGTATAATGGACTGTTGTGAAATTAGCATCTGCATCATGAATCTTATGGTAAAAAAACCAGGTTCGTGTTCGATTGGGGAAAGGAAACTACTTCAAGTGGATAGAGCAAGACATTTATACAACGTGGAGAGTGAAATGCAACTAGAGCTGTTGTGTGTTGTTCACAATTAGCAAATCTGCTTTATAGCATGAGGAAAGAAGGTAACTTTATTGACCTAGTAGAATTTCATTAAAGATGGGAACAATTAGAAAACTCTACACTCAAAATACATATTCAGCATAGTTTACACAAACATTTAAGCGGAGAACAACCATAATTATTGCTCAGTGCGCACAACTTCAGCACGGATTTTATTCTCTCACACAAGAATGAGTAGCTGAAATCCCGAACAGCCAAGGCTAGTTAGTAAAGACCACTTGCCACAAAATCCCCAAATATCCATAGACCACAGCAGAAACTAACCTAAACATCTCTATCAGTTCCTTGTTACGGCCCGATTAACCCTAGTGCCAGATTTCCATCTTATAGTTTATTTCACTTTCGAAAAACAGTTTCTCTTACACAATTATGCTCAAGAAAACTTTTTTTTCCCCCTTCATCAACCGCTCATCTTGAAATCCAAGCTTCCATATTTGCATACATATGAGCAATTAGCTCAAGCGACCATATTCAAACAACATACAAAATTCATGTCAAATCATCATATCCCAACTAATAACCAACACATATCAGCAAGAAGTAAAGAAAAGACCTCGAACCCACAAAATTACCCACTAAAACAACCACAAAATTGGCATATAGACCAGCATCACCATTGACAAAAACAGCAACAAAAAACGGCAAACACCTGAGCACTAGCAGTGAATAAAGATCGTGAAGAGAAGATCATAAATAAAGAAAACTTTACGCAAAAAACAAATCTTACTTGTTTTTGCAGCCGAAGCTGGTCAATCGATTTAAACCCTCAGTAGGAACCCGTAATCAAGCTAGGGTTTTTTCGCAACAGATTGATTCCCAAATTCGAATTATATATGCGTGCGTGTGTGTAATGAGAGGGATTGCACCATAGAAAATGCGCCAAGTTTCTTGTGTTTGGTTCGCCAAACTCCAGTATTACGCACTACCGAAAGTGACCTCCAAAGTTTTCGCATTTGAAAAAAATGAAGGACAAAAAGATAATCCAAGTAGAAAAATATCGTCTAT